AGGAACAGAAATTTAAACAACTCATATAGTAACTGATATAGAATAACAACATGACTGAAAAAATGAACCACACTAAGAAATAACAATAATTGACATCCCATAGAAAAAAGACAAAAGCAATTTTAAGATTATTATTACTATTGCATTGACAATTCAATTAATAAAGTAAACACATTCATTCAAATTCAAACAAATCTCTTCATTAATGACTAAAACACTAAGAATATTTTGTTAAGTAAATGAATAAATGAATGATGAAATGATCATTCTAGTTTGCCAGTTGATAGCTTTAAAAAGGTACTGAGAGCCGTAAACATGTTTTTAAATACAGAAAATACAGAACAATATTAAAGATTACTTTTGCAAGTTTAGAATTACACAATTTCCCCCCAGATAAATGAAAGTAAGATTTTTTTTTTCAGTGAGCCATACAGCAAGAAGGCAATAAAGATTGCGTCTTACAGTGGTGGGGTTTCAGAGCTAATTTAAGAACATGATTGCCTATTCTCAATGGAGATTTCATTTAACCAAGCCATTATTCTTATTCATTTGACTCATATCCTGAGCAATATATTATGATATACATAGACATCATATGCTGTATGTCAAAGCATAAGGCCAAATAATAGATTTGCAATAAACTACTTAATTTCATAATAACAATACTTTATCTCATTAATATGCCATTGAATGCAGATTAAAACAGTTGCAGACCAGCGTTTGTTTTTGTCAGGTTTCTTATTATTTGTTCTATTATTCTTAGTATTTGTTTTTCAAAATTCTCGTCTTTTTTCTCCCTTTGTGTTGAATTAGTCTTTTTTTACATCCTTATTTTTTAAAATATACTTGAGTTTAAGTAGAATCCTTACCAAAACACACATCCCGTGAAATGATCTGCTGTTAAACCTCAGAGAATTATAGGGATTAGAATGGATGTATTTGCAATAGGACTGCCAGCAAACGCTGAGGAAATGTAGAGCATTGAGGACAAAACTTGTTAGAAGACTTCAGAACTGGTCAGAACTCTGCAGCTCGTAGCGGGCTCTATTAACAGACTCTGGTGCCTCCTTTGTTGTTTTTTTTCTGCCAATGAATGGGTTTCCCTTCAGGGCTTGATAACATTTATGATGTACTTACAGCTCAGCATAACATTTAAGGGCTAAATCCAATATATGTAACAGTAAAGCAACCCTTTACAATATGATCATTTTTGGAAAACTGCAGAACACTGTCCAAGCCACAGATTTTACTGACAACGTGTGACAAACTACCTGTCACTGTACGTGTGGAAAAGCAAAAGCTTTTGAGACGTTTGTGTTGCCGGCTTTGTCGGCATTAAGAATAATAGGCACGTAAAGATAGCTGCTATGGCTCTGTCTGTACATCCAGCTATGTTTGAAAGTTTACAAAAGCAAAGTAAAAAGAATTCAAATGGAAACTTAAATTATCTTGGCTATAATTCATTTCTTAAACGAAAGCACAGTGTATTATTAGAATTTCAGGTTTGGAACGACTACTGTAGGTAGCATGGCAATAACTCATATCAGGAGGCCTAAAAAGGGCTCTTTGTCAGCCAAGGATACTGTTTTTAGGCTGCTAAACTGCTGGGTTGTTCTTGTGTTCGTACACAGCATTAGAGAAACAGCATCGTCGTGCCTTTCAGAATAAAGTTTCTGTGTGTGCTTGAAATAAAGCTTCAGAGGTGAGTAAAGAAGTTGAAGTTAGGCACCGAAATTAAAGATCAACTGCAACATCTAGGCAGAAAAAAGGGGCCGATGTTCATGCACAGCTACAAAATAGCAAGGTTTATTTATTTAGCGTGTGAGTGGTGCACTCTGAGTGGTTTATAGACAGTGTGAACTGTACTGTATATATATACACACTCAAGTATTTCAGCAATGAGTTGTAAGAGTGATGACATCAATTCTAACAATAAATACCAATATTGGTGTTCATAGTAGAGGTACTATAATTACTACTTAACAGCTGCTGCTTCTAATGTTAATAATAATTAGAAATGTAAATGCTTATTTACTGGAAATTTGAACTTTATATATTATTACATTACCAGAATTAATACATTATACAGTTGATCACTCCTTAGTCACTTTATATTATTTAGCATATGTTATTTAGAATATGTTATTTTTATAATTGCTCTGTCAATAATAAATGATTTGAAAAGTTCTATTTTCTTGCAGTGCCATTTATTTTAGCGTTGAAACTAAAATATTGTTTGTCTTAAGCTAGAATACTTCTTTGTCATACAAAGAGGAGAGGAGCATTACAAAAATCATATATCAGAAACCTTTTGTAACTTTCAGTACCTTTAATCCATTTTTATGTGAGATGTAAACTGGTTGATAATCGACTATATACTGAATATGATTAAATATTTATTTTCTACCCATCTGATATCCAGACTCTTGCTTACATCTACACCAGATGAAGGCAGAGAAAGAGCTTAATTTGGAATTTGTTCATGATTTGAAAGTTGAACATCTTTATAATCTACACCAGTCGAACATCTGTCTTGTTTTAAAATGAGACTTACTTACATTGTGACAAAGTACAACATACACAACTTGTCTGGACGTAACATAACTGGAGTCATTGATTATCAATTTTTAAAGATTTTCATAATCCCCTCTGCCTCATGGGGCTCCTGACAGGATTAATCAGTAATATTGTCCACCCACTCACCCCCCTATCAAGTTACATAACAAAATTATAAAAAAAACATCTAGGTCTAGGATCCCTGAGGAACCCTGCTTTTTATTCTACATCATTTTAGGAATGCCCGACTTACACCTGGGAAAATGAAAAAGAAACAAGTGGGAAAATAGAAATAGGAACTGTATGTAGCAACACTTCAACATCACACCATGTCAGTGGCAGATTTATTTGGCTTTTCACTAGCCTTTGCTATCTGTCCCCCTGGTGAGTCCCTCCTCATCAGTTAGACTGCTGTCCAAACCCACAGCCAGGGCCGTTGTGTCTCTGTGCCTTTGCCTAACCCTGCTCCATGTGTGTCACAAGCACATGCTGCTCTCTCGTTTCCTTGGAATAACGGAACTGCGAACTATTTGCTCTTGAGTTCCCAAAGAAAAGAAGGGAAAGCTAGGGAACTAGAAGACTGTGGCTTTGCACAATTAGACATTTCTTGCTAAAGAAACAAGTAATAGGTTTCTCCTCTTTTCAGTATGGAATAAACCTATTACTTGTTCCTTTGCAGCCTACGCATGCTGACGCAGCTACCCACCTGAACTAATTCTTGCTAAATTCTATTTGCTAAATTGTATTTTTCCATTGAAACATAAAAATATTAAGTTAATATAAAAATTAATAAAAAAAACATACTTCTATTTTTTTTTAAATGAAAATCCCAGTAACAACCCTCATGGTTTTCTGTGCCTTTCATCCCTCAATACAGAGACTCTGTTGCAGGTGACACGCACAGCTCGATGTACTGTATGTAAACCCCAGCACAGTGCTTTAATGGACTGACTTAATGTTTGAAACTTACAACAGCTGTTGAGCCAGGGTTTATCTGAGTTCCACGTCTGGTTATTAAACAAATGGTCCAGTCTGCAAATGTGACTGAAAGATCTGCAGCTCCATTCCCTAATCTCCAGTCCCTGCCTAGAAACATAATCCCCCCAATTACTGGTAGACTAAAAGCATTGTTTGCTATGTGCTTGCTTACACAACAAAAGCATAAGCTCAATCTTCATCTGATAGATTCTCAAATAAGGACGGAAAAGAAAACATTCAGTTGATATAGCAGATGCCAAACCACAAATATGATCAATAAAATCATCCTATACCATGGTTAGTCCAAACATAACGGTAATTATATTTTGGTGTAACTGAGACTCAACAGAAAATGAAACATATACTGTATATAAAGATGTTGCTTTGTGGGGGTGGGGAACTTGGCTCTCTACCTCCCAAACATTGTGAACTGCACACCAGTGTCATCACTGAAAGATTTTAAATATGCAGTGAAGCTGCAGTTTTTCCACTTGAAAAAATCATTTTATTTCTTTATTGGTTCCCTCTGTCACTTTCTAACCACATAAATTACCATTAAACTAAAGCTCAGGTGTGGAGACAAAATGTGTTTTGATTTGGGTTTGTTATACACTAGTTGTATAAATATATCACATCACTGTTTGTAAACACTTCAGATTTGCTCTAATTTTGAATTGATGATAATGTTCTTAGGGGAAAATGCCCTATATCATATCTCATATTACAAAGGCATGTGCATTATAATAGTAAATATATGCAGAAAGAACAATAAATGGTTTGTTCTTCTGTATGTGTCATTTCAGCTGTATTTTTTGTTAAATGGGAGAAAACATTTTTTTTCTTAACAGCTATTTTTAAACCTTATTCTTTTGGGATATATTAATTAAACCAGATATGTTATTTTCTTTTTATAGCTTGACTTTAAGCAACATTCATCATTTTGAACAGCCACGTTCAAAGAAGAAGAAGAGGTACTGGAACAGAACCTGTGGTAATCCACCTATTAAACCAGCTCCACGTGATTGACAGGGGTTTCCCTTAGAGAAACACTCAGGCTGCTACCATCTGGTTTCTCCCTTGGTTTGTCGCTGCTGAAACAGGGAAGCAAGCCTAGAAGGGTTTGAGTGTTCAAATCTAATTTGAAAGAAGGTACTTGTTAAGTAAAACCAAAAATAATATCTGAGTAATTGACTTGCACGGCAGACAAAGTTCAAAGACCATTTTCCACTTCTAGACTCTTTTCCTGACAGTGTCTCTGAACTCTCTGTTGTAAGTACACCTGTTTTTGAAGCTGTGCTTGCACAA